GATCTTTAAGGGTTCAGATACGCCTGCTGAGATCTAAACTGAACATTTTGGGGGATGAAGAGATTACATTTGATCTCTTATATTCATGATGAACTGGTGGTGAGACACCCACAGCTTGGTGAGTTTACCCATAATGCTCTGTTTGAGAGGGAGAGGTGCGCCATCTGCTGGTTAGTGTGTTTATTGTGGTGCTAAAAGTGTGGAAGTGAAAACTGTAGGTTATGAGGTGAAAAGTCAGAATGATTTTAGGAGCCCACAACAATTCCAGCAGGACTGACGTGGGACGACACAATAATTCAATGCCTTTTATGACAAAATATGTCATACAAACTTTTTATTATACTTTTTTTGCTGTTGTGTCTTTTGTGTAGGATTTTCAGCGTTAATATCTTCAACTGAGTGAACATGAAGACCAGTTGTGTTTGCCACATGACATTCTGAACTATGTAAGTTTTTGTATTATACTACAGTTAAAATAAAATTACTATTATTTGTGTAAAGCAATGTTTTTGTTTTTTGAATTGTTGTTAACATTCAATCTTCTGTGCATACTAAAAATGGTATTACAATGTCTTTTTGGACATGTTACCATGACAATGCCATTGTTGTTTAGTGATGCAATGTAGTATTACAATGGTATTTTATAAAAGTACAATATTTTTTGAAAGAAATTAATACTTTTATTCAGGAAGGATACATTAAACCAAACATTATACATATATATATATTTTTTTTTAACTTTTTTTTTTCTGTTCTTCAAAAAATGCTGAAAAAATGATCACAAAATATTAAGCAAAACAACTATTTTTAACATTGATAAGAATATAAAATGTTTCTTGAGCAGGAATAAATGGAATAAATTACATTTTAAAATATATTCAAATAGAAAACATTTCTCTTAAATTGTATCTTTTTTTTCTGTATATATGATCAAATAAATGCAGCCATGGTGAGCATAAAAGACTTATTTCAAAAACATCTTATGGACCCCAAACTTGGAGTACCATGATTTTATGATGTAATACCATGGGATTCATAGTACTTGTTTGTAAGAGAAAGTAAAATTTGATAAAATCAACTAAAATATATCAAATAAACTAAAAAAATAAATAAATAAATAACATCTCTGAGATATACTGTACATTTTTATTTATTGGTACTCAGTCCAAACATCAAGTGAGGCACAGGAGTTTGAGTGTTCACACTGCTACCAAACAACCCACTGAAGGCAGATAGCGCTGTGCAACAAGACAAGTGACACAAAACAGTTTTCAGCACAATTCCCAGAAAAGAGCTTTCTGTTAGGATGAGATGTTTAGCGGTGACTTTGTCATTTGAACCTGCAAATGTCATGAATCAAATCTCACAGAGCGTTGTGAATGCAATTAATCCAATGCTTAAATGCTTAAATTAAACTAAAGTCAACATGACATGAGATTCACAACCCATTTAACTTCTGTGACATATTTTTTCAGTGAAACAGGGCAGAACTTCAGGAGGTCCCATTGGGAAATGATTGGATAGAGAAAAGAGGGTGTTTCTGTACCAGAATGGAGCCCGGGATATGAAAGTTAGGAGCATTTTGATCATTAAGGTAATGCTTTTCTTCCCCCAAAAACTATAGTTATGTGCGATGTTTGCCGTAACCTTTACATATTTGCTATGTGGAGAAAGGTACACATTGTTGAAAGATTGCAAAAGACCATTTTTCATGGTGACTTAAAGACATAAGCCAGCGTTTTGGCATGAGATTTAATCAAACTGCACGTTTATATGTGTTCAAAAGTTTGGGGTCAGTAAGATTTTACTTTTGAAAGAAATTAATACTTTATTCACCAAGGATGCATTAAATTGATCAAAATTGACAGTGAAGACGTTTTCTGTTTCAAATCAATTCTGTTCTTTTGAACTTTCTATTCATGAAGGAAATGTATCACATTTCCACAAATTAAGCAGCACAACTATTTTCATTAACAAGAAGAAGAAATGTTTCTTGAGCAGCAAATCAGCATATTAGAATCTTTTCTGAAGGATCATGTGACACTGAAGACTGGAGTAATGATGCTGAAAATTCAGCTTTGCATCACAGAAATAAATTACATTTAAATACATATTCAAATAGAAAATAGTTATTTTAAATTGTAAAAATATTTCAAAACATTACTGTTTTTACTGTATTTTTTATCAAATAAATGCAGCCTTGGTGAGCACTAAAACATTCAAAAATATTAAAACATCATATGGACCTCAAATTTTTGAATAGTAGAGTGTGCATAAATAAGATTTGGTGTACAATAAGGCTCTTGAACATTCATCCACTCACATGACATCCTCCTTTGAGTGGGTCAATGAGGTCACATGACCATTGCAGTTCTAACAAAGCTCCTATTAATTAAAGAAAACAGGACTGGAACCGAATTATAACTACAAATAAATCCAATAAAGTCCAATAAAGCAGCTGAAATGTCAACTTATAGATGGGCTGTATGCTGGCCAGGTATTATGTGTATGATTAATACATCTAGAAACAAAAGGCTGAGAGTTTGTTACTGTGACATTAAAAACTGCGGTGGAGTTACATGATGGTGACCCTCTCAGGTGAAACATGGGCAGCGGGTCTCTCGTGGTTGGTGCGGCTCTGATTGGAGTCTAATCCACACCTGATCCGCTTCAGCTTCCGGCTCACACAGGGAAGCAGCAACACCACTTTTCCTATTATCACCGTGACAGGCAGAACCAGGGCCAGGACAAAATTGGGCGGCGGAGTGCATGATTTTTATTATTGTATTACAGTGATGGGAATCTAATGACAATCATCATTGATGATTGAATTTTAACAATTATAAATAAACTCGCAAGTAAACTATAATCTGGACGCATTACAGTAGTAAGAATTGAGTGGGAAATGTGCCTAATTGTCATAATATAATAAGAAAATGTTAATAAATTATATAATTAATAACAATAATAATTCAGTAATAACTAAATAAATAATAATAAGATTACATTTAACATAGCTTCATTATTAAATTAAAAAACTATATTAAGATCCACAGGTTGGTTGGATGCGTGTATGGTTTCCTCATAAAAACCTGTTTTAAAATGTAAAAAGGTATTCCAACAAAGAATAGAATAGAATAGAATATGGAATCAAATTCTGTAGCCTATTCCTCAATACCATGACATTGAAATCTCAGACTGTGTGACCTGTTAAGAGTACCAAAGGTGATTGTTTGCTCATATGGAAACAACAGTACATAAATCTTTTTTTTTTTAAATTCATCAAAGAAGAACAGAAACCATATCTATATATTTATATAATATCAGGGGCAGGTTGCTCTGTAAATTACGCATTATGCTGGTAGAATAGAGCATGACGCACCCGATTTAGCCTATTTGTAACTGCGAAAAACATCTCAAGGTTATAACGTTACCTGTAATGGAATCTGCCGTGGCACCATCGAGCAAACCGAAGAGACGTGTGAGTCCCTCACCGTCACCGGTGACTGTTTCCCCGCCCTCTGTCCGTTTGATTTGCAGTGACGGCGTCTCTTTCATTGGGCGGCAGCTGTTTCTAGACAATAGCTGTTATTTTCCTCTAGGGGGCGCTTGGAGGCTCAAAAAGCGAATTCTTTATTGAGTCAAATTCAAATGTCAGGACGCTTGTAATTTTAATTGATTTATTTGTGCACGTAACAGTGTAATCGTTTTAATCTATTAATTTCGTTGGTATTGGCCCTGACATACAAATGGAAACAAGTCCCAATAATCTTTATTAAACGATTTAGCGAAGCCCTTATCTCGAACGAACGTGATTGGTTCATCCTGATCAGCGCTGAGAAAAATAACAGTTACCACGTGACACGTGTCGTCATGAACAATATTTTATTCCTAAACCAGCCATTGTGTTAAACATACAAAGGTAAGAAATAAAAGACCGTTCGTTTTGGCCGCTAATACCCTCCGGTCATCATAAACAACGCTTCATGATAAGTTGCTGTTCTTGTTTATTCTATTTCTATGCTTTTATACGTGTTGAAGTGCTGCAGCATGTCTCTGATCTGCTGTGAAGACAGCCCTCTGCAGTAAAGTACGATACACCTCTGGGTTGATCTAGGCTGGTAACTCAGTGTAGGTTATAATGAAAAATGTAAGCATGTTTAACTAGGTTAAACGTTTTCTAAAAATGCACATAAAATTAATGCAAATAAAATACTCTTTAGCCGTTTAAACCTGTTAAATATGCAAATTATGCACTATTAAATATGCACAAGTGATAGCCCACAGAAAATGAAACTTATTTTTGTTATAATGTGATCAATAATTCACAACCTACTCTCATAACATTGTTTATTTAACAACATTTACATATTTAATTTGCATTTGGGGAAATAACAAGTTTTGTGCCCATTTTAAAAGTTTTATAAAATGCCTTATAAGAAAAAACTCTGACAATTACCCCAGTATAAAATAAATCAATGTGTTATAAAATAATAATAATATAAATTAAATGTTTTTTTTTTTATTTCAATTGGGCTTGTTTTCTCATTTCTGGCCACAGTGAATTGCACATCACAGGTGAACAATGAAAGAGCAATGCACTGGGACAAAACCCTTTCAGCCAAACGCTGATGAATGACATTTTCATGTGATTGAAACAATTCATTATAATTAAACCCCCTGCTATGGGCTGTACAACAGATTACTGGAAAAACCTGCAAATAATGACACATCCCGCCATCTCTCACTCACCTGCTGGTTCACAGGCCAAAAACAGACAGTACACTGGTTCAGGTTCAATTGAAAATGTTAAACATATGAATTTTCAGTTCAAAGAATAGTGAATAAAATATAGTAAAATATAAATATATAGATAAAATATAGTATTTATCCATATTTAGATATATTTACCCATCTATATAGATAGATAGATAGATAGATAGACAATACAAGTAGACTGTGAAATTACTGCTTGACTTTGTGTCAAAATCTGTGATACCTTAAGGTCCTTTGGCAAGAGTGTGGACCGAGAGAGAGCCAGCAGAAAGAGCATGCTGATGACAACGTGTCAATTTCTCCAAAAATAGCATCTTCGCTCTTTCCTTCAGTCCTCCGATGAGTTCACGCTGCTGTTTACTCCTCTTCTTCCTCAGCTTCTGTGCAGCGTCAAGACAGCAGCTTCAGGCCTGCAAAGTACAACATGTTGTTCGTGACCACAATGCTGAAAGTTGTGGGACGGGTAATGCTGAGTGTGTGCATGGAGGTCAGAGGAATATCATATGACGTGCTGAAGAGGATGTTAGTGTACAGTTTATGCATTGCACTGGTAAAATACAACTTCTTTACGGGTAAAGCTTGGTTTGAGGCATTTTTTTTGGAAGTGGCTGCTAAACCATTTTTAAAAATCAGTTGTGTCTGCAGATGTTAAAGGCTATTTATATGTATATATTTATTTACATATTCATCTGTGATGATTATTATCATTATTAATTAACAATGATTATTATGATTAGTATTAATAATTATAATGAATTAATACGTATTTTATTAATATTATTGTATCTCTATATGTATTTAATTATTTATTTATTTACTTTTTATGATTATTATGATAATGATGTTATTATTAATTAACAATGACAATTATAATTACTATTAATAATAATAATACAATAATGAACAATAATAATGTAGTTTTCTATTAATATCTTTGTATCTCTATTTATTAATGTATGTATTTATATATTTATGTTTATATTTTATTAACAATTATTATTATATTAGCAACATATAATGTGGTAGGGGAAAAAAACAATAACACATCTGGATCTCAGCGATGTGAAACACACACACAGACCTGCTGATAGGCCATGTTGAGCATCAGGTATCTCTCTGAGCGTCTCATGGGCAGGCAGACACTGTACAGCACGTGAATGCAGCCAAAGAAGAAACTCAACAAACCAAGCTGTTTGCGGCTCTCCAGCCAGCCCTCCAGCCAGGGTGGGAAACGGCAGTACTTCGTCCCGTAGATGAGCTGGTACGCAGCAGCAAGCTGTCCTGCTAAATACACCAGTGCTAGCAGAACTATGGCCACTAAAGGCAGCGTTCTGTTCACTATTTCCAGAGGAATCTTGTAGAAAAAACTCTGTCTGCTCTTTATATAAGGATGGATAATGTCCCGCACAAAGGAGTAAGCGAAAAAGAAGATGGACAAGGCGACCGTGGTCAGAACAGGTCCTTTCCAGGCGGTGAAGAGATGCAGTGGCATATTCTCGATCTCTTTGGCAGAAGAGAGGGCGCCCATGTCCACAGGGATGAAACTGAGCTGACGGGCCAATTCAATGAGCTGCTGTCGAGCGTCCACTGAATTACTGCAAATATAGACCTGTAGAAAGAGATCAATAATCCTTCCTTTCAAAACATTCATTCATTCAAAGCAGCAGTTAGGCTGATATATTGGTGACCAAATCATGGTTGTCCAATTCCAGGTTAAAATTAGATTTTGAATGCCAAATTTTCAATGTGGTCTCAGACTGGATCCCACTATATATTATGCATGATCGTTTACAGTATGAACAATTTCCTAGAACCCATAACTAGAGTGGAATTAATTCACTGAGTTTATAAGGTTTTAAAATTAGACTGTGAGATAAAAGCAAGTTTATGGCATGGCTGTAATGGATCTTTGATTGTGTTCATAAAATCTTTTCCTCTTTCAGCTCACAGAGCTTCCACAGAGGGCGGCTCATCTGTTCATCATTCTAACCAGCTGCTCACAGAAAGTACTGTAAGACATTTACTTTTACTGCTGGCTGGAAGAGGTCTCTGCTAATACGACAAGACATAATCCTCATCATCATCTTCCTCCTTCTCATCTTCATTCCGTGGACACTAATTCACTTCAGGAGTGTCATTAGCATACTGAGGGCTATAACTTGTTTTTGACCCACAGCATTTAGCACACTGTTGAACACAGCAGCAGGGTCTGTCATATTTTATTTTTGTTTTATTTTATTTTATTTTGCCTATACTGCAGTTATAGAGCAGTAAAACAGTGTAGATCAGTGTTGTTTAGTAAAACTAAAATTATTTTTTTAATAGTTTTTCGTTAACTGAAATAGTTATAGAGCAGTAAAACAGTGTAGATCTGTGTTGTTTAGTAAACAACTATTAAAAATAATTTTTCGTTAATTGAAATAAAGCTAAAATAAGACGCAAATATTAGATGAAAAAAAAAGAGCAATATTGCCTTGTCAATTAACTGAAATAAAATAAGTACTAACATTTCTGAAAATAAAACTGAAATAATAATAAAGCTGAACAGAAATGGTTTAAAAAAATAATTAAAATGACAAAATCATATAACAGAATTACTAAAACTACATTTGAAAAATGAAAACATAAAAATTAAAGCTACTTGAAAATATTAATAAAAATAAAACTGAAATAAAAATAAATTAAAGCTGAACAGAAATATTTTTTAAAAATAATTAAAATTACAAAAGCACATAACAGAATTAATAAAACTAAAAGTGAAAAAAATAAAGCAAAACTAAAAGTAATTTTTAGTAATAAAATTACTTAAAATAAAACTGAAATAAACAAATTAAAGCTGAACAGAAATATTTAAAATAATAATAATTGCAAAAGCATGAAAAAGTAACTTATGATAACTTAAATATGAATAAATACATAATAGTACAGAAATAATATTTAAATAACACTGGTACTGTATAGATCATAAGGACTGAAATTGAGTCCAGGTCGAGACACCGTGTCTGGGCTCAGATACACCTTGGACAGACTGTTCTGAAGTTCTGCCAAAACATCTGAACAGAAACATTGTGAGCAGTGTGTTTTAATTTAGACGTTCCTGAGTGTTGTGGCTATCGCAGTACACTGAATTTTGTACAACATACCTGTCGACTGGAGTCTCTGGGGCCTGACTGCATGGCCCAGGACGAAGCTAAAATAAGACGCAAATATTAGATGAAAAAAAAAGAGCAATATTGCCTTGTCAATTAACTGAAATAAAATAAGTACTAACATTTCTGAAAATAAAACTGAAATAATAATAAAGCTGAACAGAAATGGTTTAAAAAAATAATTAAAATGACAAAATCATATAACAGAATTACTAAAACTACATTTGAAAAATGAAAACATAAAAATTAAAGCTACTTGAAAATATTAATAAAAATAAAACTGAAATAAAAATAAATTAAAGCTGAACAGAAATATTTTTTAAAAATAATTAAAATTACAAAAGCACATAACAGAATTAATAAAACTAAAAGTGAAAAAAATAAAGCAAAACTAAAAGTAATTTTTAGTAATAAAATTACTTAAAATAAAACTGAAATAAACAAATTAAAGCTGAACAGAAATATTTAAAATAATAATAATTGCAAAAGCATGAAAAAGTAACTTATGATAACTTAAATATGAATAAATACATAATAGTACAGAAATAATATTTAAATAACACTGGTACTGTATAGATCATAAGGACTGAAATTGAGTCCAGGTCGAGACACCGTGTCTGGGCTCAGATACACCTTGGACAGACTGTTCTGAAGTTCTGCCAAAACATCTGAACAGAAACATTGTGAGCAGTGTGTTTTAATTTAGACGTTCCTGAGTGTTGTGGCTATCGCAGTACACTGAATTTTGTACAACGTACCTGTCGACTGGAGTCTCTGGGGCCTGACTGCATGGCCCAGGACGAGATCACATTGAAGCCTTTGACCACAATGGATTCTGGGAATAGGGAGGCTAGGTATTCTGCGTTTGATTCTGGATACTGGTTGACCCTTCTGTTGTTGCTGACATCCACCAGTATTTTTCCAGCCAGCAAATGCTTGATGTCCCAGAGGGAGGAATAGTGCTCTCGGCGAATGGCCAGTAGCACGATGTTGGCCTTCCCCACTGCGTCCTCGTGATGGGTCACGTCTACCACGTGCGGGAACGACTCGGCCGCTCTCTTGGGCTGTCGGCTCCCCACCACCACGTGAAACCCACTGCGGAGCAGCCGGAGGGTCAGGCTTTTGGAGAAGTCTCCAGAACCGCTCTGCCAGCAATTTTCCTGTTTCCTTATCTGTCTTGTCCAAACTGTCCTACAAAAATTCACCAGTGTTGTTTTTCCCGAATCCCTATAATGTTTGTTCCAGTTTCTGATCGTCAGTTTTAAAGGACTATTAAGAATATGAGTCATTTTTTTGTCCTCAGGGGAAAGGACATCAGGGAAAGAGTGACTTAAAAAAACTCACTTTAAAAAACGGAGCAGCCGGAGGGTCAGGCTTTTGGAGAAGTCTCCAGAACCGATGATGCTGACCGTGGGCTTGCCGGATCCCTCTTTGGACCCGTTCTTCAGCCCGTATGGTAGGAAGCAGACTTTGGTGCTGGCTGGGCTGCTACCCAGCAAGGAAATAGAGTCCATTTTCAAGCCCGAAGCACCTTGTACTGGATCTTAAGACACTATAATGGAATAATGCTTTGTTAAATGAAATCTCAGATGCATTTTTTTTTTTTTTACAATTTAGTTAAAATACAATCTCTTTAAACTTGTCAAGAACCCAAAATAAAAGTGACTTAAAAAAACTCACTTTAAAAAACGTAATTGTTCATACTTCACTCAGACTAGAGACTACTTTTTGAGCTCAGCATACACACACCCTGTAGGCCTGTTTCTTTTTTGAGAACTCAGTTGATGGTCTAATTAAATTTGCCAATTTCCCTTGCAGCCTCACTCATGACCATCCTATGATTCTGTTTCTGTGCTGTAAAGACCTCTGGAAAACTTTCAGCTCTGACTAAACTAGTTGCAGCTGAGACTAAGAATAATCATGCGTTTCTTTAACTTGCTCTTTATTGGTATTGTTGCATTAGGAACATTTGAATTCTGCTCTGCTGGACCTCTTCATGCACAGTGCAAAGTTGAGTGGTAAAGTAGCTACTCTTTTATGTTCCTTTTTTTTTTAAATAAAAAAAAAAGCTGCATTAAAGATTATGAAATTTTTAGCATTAGATTTGCTTATAGAATTTAAACAGTATAGGAAACTTAAATAATTTTGTGTATTATATAATGTTTACATATGTAGATGTATTTGTTCAAAATTTGTTTATAAATGTTTATATATTTATATTTGTTAGAGGGTTATTATAGTTAAGTAAAACTAAATTAAAACCATATAAAACATTTTTGTTACTTGAAATAAAACAAAACATTTAAAAAAACAAACTTTTTTATTTTTATTTTTTTGTTTACTTTAACCTTGAGTTTATTTTATCTTGATGTACTAAAATAACTAATATGTATATATAAAAATATAGATATGTTTAAAAATAATAATAAACATCACAAAAACAACAAAATTACTCAAACTTTAACTAAAATTTAAAATGAACATGTAAAATATAAAAATAAAACTAATTCAAATATTAATAAGCTATAGTATCTACTAACACATGACTGATTTATTTATAAAAACTTTGATTTGGTTTGGTTTGATTTGATAACTTAAAAAAAAAAAAGTTATGAAATATTTTTATAAACATGAATCTTGGAGTTTTAGCTGTTTTGTTTGTTTCCAATTGCTTAAGTATTATTTTTATAAAGCTACTTATATTTGGTTATAATGTTTATACGATATTTAATGTATTTAATTTCTAAGTATTCTTATGAATTATTTACTTTAAATTAGGGGTTTTTTTCTATATTTTGCCTGTTTATAATTTTTTATCACAAAATTGTGATATTTTGGGGAAAATTACAGTTCCGTTTTTTAGTACAATAATATAGTTTTATGTAACTACATAAAGTAGATGTGGAGTTTAGGAAAAGACCATTTGATTGTACTAAATTAATTTTAGTGGTCAGTGCAGTAGCGTCGGTTTCCACTAGATGGCAGCATTTGTATATAGTTTAGCTATATTGAGAACTTGTGTTTGGTTGTAAAGCCAGGAAAAGATCATTCGCAAATTACAAGTTACAGACCGATTGCATTAACTTCTAACCTCTGTAAACGTCGTAAATCTTCTACTAGACAAGACATTTTATGAGACATTTTACAAAGTTTGTTCAGAATACAAACAAAAACCATTATCTCTTTTGTATGGATTCCTGCACATATAGGGATAGAAGGTAATGAAGTGGTGGATCAAATAGCGAAAAAAACATTAAAACATCCAGACATAGAATTTAATGTTCCAATGAGTAAATTAGAAATAAAAGGGCTAATTAAAAAAGCATTAAAAGATATATGGCAAAGTAAATGGGATGGTGAGAATAAAGGACGGCATTTATATAATATTCAAAAAACAGTTGGAAATGAGAGGAGAATTTTTGGGAATAGAAAGGAAGACGGCATAATATCTCGCCTTAGAATTGGACACACTGCACTTAATCAATCATTATTTATAATAGGAAAACATGAGTCTGGACTTTGTGGTAACTGTGATCTTCCTGAAACAGTTGAACATATTTTAATAAAATGTAAAGGATATGACAACGAAAGAGTACAACTTACAGAAGCACTTCATATAGAAATAAATCAGATCTCACTTCAGAAATTGTTAAATAAAGATGTGACTATATAAATGTTTCACATATTATTTAAGTATCTCAAAGATACAGATAATAAACAGGATTTAAAGAATCACTACAAATTATTATTTTTTTTTTTAGTTTTCCTTTAACGTCATTGCTCCACACTCCATCCTAGTAGGTGGCGGTAAATGCACCTAAAGCTGGTTTGCCAACCGCCATAAAACGTCAAAGAAGAAGAAGAAGAAGAACTTGTGTTTGGCTTTTCCCAGGTATTTCGGCCTCCCTTGCAGGAGTGTGTATGAAGCTCTGGTCAAACAGATTAAAAAGTGGAGGACAATCTCAACCTGTGCCATGGGAGGAGAGAAATGTATCTACAAGGTGTGTGCTTTGACATAAAGAGATGTGTTTATGTATCAATGTAAATTAGATGAATATTTTGCGCTTTCTCTCTCTTGTGTAGTTGCAGTCTGCATCTGTGCACTTCATATCAGCCAAACACACAACTCCAGTAAAGAAATATGTTGATGACATCAACTTCAGACTCGTCTCCTATGGATTTTTCACACACTGCCATGTATCTGTAAGTGTTTAAACAGACAATCAGCTAAATTTGACTTCATTTTGTATAGGAATATCACTTTTGACCAACCAAATAACCTATTTAAACTTGTTCCCAGGCCATGTCAGTGTCAGAGACCTGGTATGCTGTCACAGATCACGGCACCAACTACTGTAATCTCTACAACTTAATAGAAGGTAAAATAGGTCAAAAGACAAAACAGCAGGCTGCATCTGATTGAAACGACACTAATGTAAAGACAAAACCAGCTTCTGAGGTTTATTGTCTGTGTGCAGGCAGTGGACTTACTGAAGCTCCAGGATACAAAGAGATCACCAGTGACTTCCTGTGCACCCAGCGCTCATCTGCTAACTGTGCCGTGTACTAACACTCAAACATGATCACACTTTTTTATATCCTATAACTTTTTATATCGACTTGTGTGGCTTTTAGTCATATTTAGTAGATTTGAGGTCATTTATAATATCCCCAAAATTGACTAAATAAACTTTTAACTGATATACACATTTAAAAATTACAGTCACTTCCTGTGAACATGGACCAGAACTATAAGAATTTTTGAAAGAAATGAATACTTTTATTAAACAAGGATGCTTTGAATTAATCGGAAGTAACAGTGAAGACTTTTGCATTCTTTTTATTTCAAAGAAACTCTCTTCTTTTGAACTTAATATTCATCAAACAATCCTGAAAAAAATGTATGACAGGTTCCACAAAAATATTAAGCATCACAACTGTTTTTTAACATGTGATAATAATAAGTGTTTCTTGAGCAGCAAACCTGCATATGATATCTGCAGGATCATATATTAAAATAGAAAACGGTTATTTTAAATTGTAATAATTTTTCACAATATTACCGTTTTTACTATATTTTTTTTTGATCAAATAAATGCAGCCTAGGTGAGCACAAGATTTTCTTACAAATACATTTTAAAATTGTAACAATCCCAAAGTTATATTTTTCCCTCTGCTGTTGCTCTAAGGAGAATGTCCCGCCCTCTAGCAGTGGCAAAAGCTTTAATATGTAATATTTCATTAGGATATAATATTTCATTAAGGAAATACACTAAAAGAAGCTGCAATTATCAAGGTGTTTTTAAAGCTGTCTTCCATTATGTATTTATGGCATAGAACTGAATAGTTCAAAAATCAAAGTTATAGTTCTTAAGTTGTTGCTATTGTGTAACTCTTCTAAAAAAAACTCTTTGTTTTATTCTTTGCTTGAGTTTTGTGCTCCTGCTCTGTATTTTCCTCCTCATTCAATACGGATGAGGGTGACATTTCATATGCACATTGTTTGGAGACAAATATAGCAGTTCTCAGTGGTGTTAGGCTCAGTGTTCTGCATGGACATTTTCTCTCTAAGGGCAGCAATATGCTCTGGTGGGTGCAGCCATCCATCATGGATGTCTTGCACTCATAACTGAAGTCCTTCTGCCTGATGCCATCAGTCTCTCAGTCTGCTGCAGTAGCGCTTTGTCACCAGTAGTTTTTGTAAAGTGTTTTTTTTTTTTTAGTACAGTCGGTGCAACATTTTGATTAGATAAATATCTAAAAGTTAATTTAATTAATTAATATTGCATTTTTAACTGTTTTCATTTTCTTCCCTATCATAACTAATATTTTACTTAACATTTTTTTTAGGTATACACCTTTTTTCTTTTTTTTTAACATGTTTATTTTTATTTTCTCAGTTTTTGCAAGCTAGTATTATTTTTGGTTATTTATTTTTATTATTAATAAAAATGCTGTGACATCCCACATACATACTGGAGGTCAAAGATGTAAGCCATAAATTCAATATTGGGGTTAACCAAAGGTTAAATATGAGGTTAAACTCTAGTGCGGCAGTCTCTTGAGTGAAAGACTGAAATGGTCGCTCTCAGGTGTGAGAAGTTTAAGTAGCTGAAAGAACTCTGAATCGTTTGTGATTCAGTCTGAATCTTTCAAACTGCAGTTTAAAGAATTGTTCCAACCAAAAGAGTATCAATACGCTAACAGTACACAAAATCCCATTAAAAATTTATTAAAAACTAATAAAAGATAAAAAAAAAAATATCTGCATAATTAAAATTCATATAACAGTAATTTTGCATTTAAATTGATATCTATATTTCCAGTCAGTGCCTTTGTGACAGTGCAATGCTGTAGGGGTGCAAGCACTGAACCTTGTGGCATCCCAGTGCAGAGAATACAGGCTGAAGTGAGTGAATCTTTCCAGCTGACTAGTTACGACCTGTTACCCAGGTAGGATTCAAAGACATTGAAGTTGCACCTGAGGCACACCTATGAGTTTTGTTATTGGTGC